ACATCAATTTGTTGTTCCACTTATCCATGCATTTATTGATTAACTCTTGTATATACCCTGACCAGAGATCGAACCCCAACCTTGGCATATCAGGATGACACTCTAACCAACTGAGTTACTGGCCAGGGCATGAGTTCCAGTTTTAATAGAGCATTCCAGTTTCTGCAAGGAAAATGTCTCATAGCTAGGCAAGAATGGAGACAGGTGACCAGTTATCCATTTCAGTTCACTGCTGTTGCAATGGGCCAGCTGCCAGATGTGGGGTGTTGATGGTATACACTTGTATGTGCTGGATCGTGGAAGCCAACCTGCTGATGGACAATATGAGAGGAATCAAGAATGACTCACAAAGTTTTGATTTGAGAAATTAGCTAGTTGGTTATGCCATTGAGTTAAATAGGGACAAAGTGGGAGGAGAGGATTGATGGGGAAAATGAAGACTTCTGCTTCAACTAGGTTAAGCTTGGGATGCCTGAGAGGTTGCCAAATAGAGATGGCAAGTAGACAGTTGGATATACGAACTTGGAGTTCCCAGAGACATCAGGATGGAAGACACAGATGTGCTGTCAGCTTGGACCACTAGGAGTTCTTACTGTGATACCCTACCTGGTGTGGAATAGAAAAGAGGAACCAGCCAATCTAATTGTTGGCAAAAGGATTATAGTTGACTAGTGGCCCAGTGCACAAAATTCATGCACACTGAAAGGGAATTAGAGGAAATATTTCAATATTGCTATTTGCCCTTTATAATAGAAGTGTCAAAGATGAAAGAAAATTAGTAAGATGTATATGAAAATAATATACAAATTTATTAATAAATAAACAACAGCATCACATCCCCCAGCGGGCACCAGGTGGGGGACACAGCCTTACATCCCCCAGCCTCACCGCGCACACAGCCCCGCCCACCCGCGCCTGCTGCGTACACAGCCTCCTGCTGATTGGTCGTTATGGCATGAGGGCGTCATGACAATTTGCATATTAGCCTTTTATTATATAGGATCGCTTCCAGTAGAGGCAGTGATTTATCTTCCTTAGAAAAGACTTTACAGCAGGTTCTTATATAACAGCATTTTGTTCAGTGTCATTTTGTTAGAATGTTGATAAGAAAAAAAAGTTCGATTCCCAGCAGGGACCACTGCCTGTGTGAAGTTTGCATGTTCTCCCCATGTTTTTGTGGATTTTCTCTGAGTACTCAGGTTTCCTCCCACACCCCAAAGATGTGCACGTGAGGATGAATTGGGGTCTCTGCATTGTCCCAGTCTGAGTGAGTGTGGAGGTATGTGTGTGGTCCTGAAATGGAAGGGTGTTTGCCCAAGACTGGTTTCCACCTTGTGCCCTGAGCTGCTGGGGTAGGCTCTGGCCACCTGTGACCCTGAACTGGAGCAAGCAGGTAGGAAAATAATCGTACTTGTTTTTATTAATCTTTCTTAAATGTATGTGTAGCTCACATTATCTCAAATTCTGGTATTAGAACTGTTTTGGGGGTGTCTTTATTTAAAAGCTTTTCGTGACCAGAAATATACCATAGGAACTGAACTCATGTATGTATCAACTAGCCTCTGGTAAAACTGGTTCCATTATACCTTGTTTTGCTTTAAATCCTTGTTTCCAAGAACCTTTCTTTGATGGCGAGGCCCTGTTGGATTCAGGAGATGGAGTTGCTGCCCTGTGTCTGTCAGCATAGCCTCCGGTGGGATCACCAACCCCCCAGTACACTGCTCCTTGCTTGGCTGCAGGCCATTCAATCCTGCCTTACAAGCTGTCATTTCCACATAGAACTTTCCGGGACCGGAAGGGACCTTTAGGAACCCAGCAATCTTTCTGGGTAGTGACTCCCAAATGTGGCCCCAGGTGCTTTGGAACCTGGAGGTGGGGGACACTTATCCCAACTCCAATAAGGTGACAGGCGTTGTACGTGGTGGACTCAGACATCAGATTGTGTCTGAGTAACGTTTTGGCTGTGTAAAAACCACAAAGCACGGAGGGAGTCTCACCGCTTCACTTTCTGAGGCAGCAAACAGGATCGGAGAAGTGAAATAACACCGGCTTCCCCGCACCGCCTCCCTCCCGGCCGCTCTTGCCCCGCTCCTGCCCGAACGAAGGCCG